TTTCTATGCTCAAAGCAGAGTGGCCATTAACCTCAAGTGCATTTGAGTACTTACTCTGAAAATCAAACTCCAGGGGTTACTCCCAACCTCTTAACACCTTCTTTCATAAGATGCTGCTGCTTCTTCAATACTAACAGTATTCTTGCAAGTGGAAAGCTTGGAATCAGAGAAGACACTGCCTCTGTATTCTTCTGGTATCAGCTGGAAAGAACAATTGCAAGAGGGCCTTGCTCATAGCGGAGAGTGCTCTATGTAGAAAGACCATGTTTAGTGAAGATAAAATATGTAAACAGTTCTGTAAATGCCCTTCAATCTCCACTGAACATCTACAAATGGTGATGTTCAGAGGCTTATAACTTGGCCAATTTTGGGTGGATTTTCATGACGACACCAAAGATCTCTCTGTTCTCAGTCTGGTCCCCCCCCCCCACACACACACAGCTGCCAGATGTGAAGTCCCAGCTCCAGTGTATGAGTATTCTAGATCAAGGTCTCAAGAAATGTTTTGCTGCCTTTGGAGTGCAGCTACCAACTCTTGCTGGTGGTAACAGTTTTTCCTAAAATTCTTAATCAACTTTAGAAAAACAAGTATGCACACATATATGTCCAAATTATAATTTATTTATGTAGGTTTTCATTATTACAGGCTTGATAATAAAAACAATGTACAGTTGTCTCTATTCTTTACAGGACCTAAACAGAATAGAAAAAATAATGTGCTTTTCATGGTCTTGTGTTCCTGTTGCTGTTTTTGCTCTCTTGGTTGCTTTTTATTTAAGGGTTGCTGGATTGTAAGTCCGTTTCTATGACAAGTGATATTTATATGTTTAACGCAGCTCCCCCTCCCCCAATCACCACCCAGGAGGCTGTGGCTAAATACAAAGCTGTGGTGACCACATTTGAGAGAGACTCTTTTGGATATTTTGTGAAACAATTGTAAGATTAATTTTTTTGTCGGTGGCATTTTTCCTAGACTCATTCTTGAAGACTTCTGAACCATTTTTGATGAAATGTTCCTAGAACTTCAGTCATAGACATGGCATTGAAACTTTCAGCCTGAATGGCTAAATTAATAGATTCCAAAGACAGAAGAGGCCACAGTGGGGGAGAGGGATAGCTCAGTGGTTTGAGTATTGGCCTTCTAAACCCAGGGTTGTGAGTTCAGCCCTTGAGGGGACCATTTAGGGATCTGGGGCAAATCTGTCAGGAATGGTACTTGGTCCTGCTGTGAGGGCAGGGAACAGGACTCAATGACCTCTCAAGAGCCATTCCAGTTATATGAGATGGGTCTGTTTTGGGACCAGATATCTTCATCAATGATTTAGATATTGGCATAGAAAGTAAGCTTATTAAGTTTGCAGATGATACCAAGCTGGGAGGGAAGGATAGGGTCATAATTCAAAATGATTTGGACAAATTGGAGAAATGGTCTGAGGTAAACAGGATGAAGTTTAATAAAGACAAATGTAAAGTGCTCCACTTAGGAAGGAACAATCAGTTTCACACATACAGAATGGGAAGCAACTATCTAGGAAGGGGTACGGCTGAAAGCGATCTAGGGGTTATAGTGGACCACAAGCTAAATATGAGTCAGCAGTGTGATACTGTTGCAAAAAAAGCAAACATGATTCTGGGATGCATTAACAGGTGTGTTGTGAGCAAGACACGAGAAGTCATTCTTCTGCTCTACTCTGCGCTGGTTAGGCCTCAGTTGGAGTATTGTGTCCAGTTCTGGGCACCGCATTTCAAGAAAGATGTGGAGAAATTGGAGAGGGTCCAGAGAAGAGCAACAAGAATGATTAAAGGTCTAGAGAACATGACCTGTGAAGGAAGGCTGAAAGAACTGGATTTGTTTAGTTTAGAAAAGAGAAGACTGAGGGCGGACATGATAGCCGTTTTCAGGTATCTAAAAGGGTGTCATAAGGAAAAGGGAGAAAACTTGTTCATCTTGGCCTCTGAGGATAGAACAAGAAGCAACGGGCTTAAACTGCAGCAAGAGAGGTTTAGGTTGGGCATTAGGAAAATGTTCCTAACTGTCAAGGTAGTCAAACACTGAAATAAATTGCCTAGGGAGGTTGTGGAATCCCCATCTCTGGAGATATTTAAGAGTAGGTTAGATAAATGTCTATCAGGGATGGTCTAGACAGGATTTGGTCCTGCCATGGGGGCAGGGGACTGGACTCGATGACCTCTTGAGTTCCCTTCCAGTCCTAGTATTCTATGATTCAATATTATCTTGGTATCACAGTGACATCTACTCTGACCCTCTGTATAGCACAGGAATAGTCCTTCCTCAGAATGATTTATTTTGAGCTAAAAAGTGTATTAAATCTAATCTTGATTTAAAAATTTCTAGTGATGTAGCATTTACCACAAGTCTTAGTAAATGGGTTCATTACTCTATTAAAATTTGACAAATTTATAAACTGAAAACTGGATCTTTTAATGGGAAGTATTAGACAAACTTAATTAGAGGTAGTGTGGCCATGGCTACCTATAACATACAGGCTGTGATACTCAACAATGGCAACACAACTGAATCAATTGATGTAAGGATTGGAGTCAAACAAGGGTGTGTACACCTACACCATTTAACATCTTTTTTGAGGCTACGCTCCAGACTACTGGAGATGACCTTCCAGGTAGAATTGAAATAGTCTACAGGATAGGTGGTAGGTTATTTTCTCTGCAATCTGGGCTGCTTCAGAGCCAAGACCGAGAACACAACAATGTCACTGGTAGAACTTCAGTACGCCGACAATGCCCAGGTCAGTGCCACCTCGGAAAATGGACTCCAAGCAATCATCGACATTTTCTCTATGGCCTACCATAGGTTGGGACTGACTCTCAATCCATGAAAGACCAAGGTTCTCTTTCTGTCAGCACCTGCCATATCATTATCTGAACCAACCATCATGGCAGATGATCAAGTGCTGGAGAATGTCAACAGCTTCCCCTATTTTGGAAGCTATCTGTCCAGCAATGCTGATATCAGTGATGAAATCTGCCACTGAATCTTGAGTGCCAGTGCAGCCTATGGACATTTACGGACGCGAGTCTTCAATGACCGTGACATCAAGATGCAGACCAAGATGCCGTAGTCATCCCAGCATTGTTATATAGAGCTGAAGCCTGAACTCCCTATAGACGACGTATTGAAGATCTGGAGAAATTCTACAAAGGTACCTGAGGAGAATATTGGGCATCATGTGGCAGGACAGACGGACCAATGTTAGTGTCCTCACAGAGGCTGGTTCCTGCAGAATTGAGGCAATAGCAGCCCACAGGCAGCGATGATGGTCTGGTCACGATGCCTGACACGCTTGCCTAAACAGATTTTCTATACTCAGCTGAGGAACAGAATGCGGTCTTATGGCGGGCAGAGGACGCGCTACAGAGATTTCCTTAAGAACACCTTGGTAAAGTGCGACATTGACACTGACACCTGAGAGAGGCAGGAGAAGAATTGGGTAACCCGGAGGACCTCCATCAAGTGCCTGATGCTTTGAGATCAAGTGACGTCTCCATGAAGATCAGAGAGCCTGACAAGGAGTGTGCTCGGGCTTACATTGGTGCTGCTGGTGTTGGTGCTGATGGAGATAGAGACTTCACATGCACCTACTGCCAGAGGGTGTTCCTTGCCACAATTGTTCTAATTTCTCATCTACGTACTCATCAGTTATAGGAGTCCAAGGGAAATCTTACTCAATTTAAGGGATCCCAGAGAGAGAAAACCATTGAAGACAATCTGTGTTCATTTCTGCTACTATTAACCATGTAGTTTTAACAAGTAGCTTAAAGATTGAAAGGGTTGGCCAGATTTGTTGGGAAAAGTTAAGATAATTTGTAAACATGAGGATTTTCTATTTTTTAAGTAGAAGCTTAATTGTCTGTCTGGTTTGTAAATCAAAGAGAATCAGAACAAATACTTTAATTCCTTACATTGATACTATCCTTTATTTTCTCATCTAAACCTTAAGCATTCTTATTTTAATTAGCATATAATCAGCACTTCTTAAAAACAAAGAAAGGGCAACTATTGTAAAAATAGAAGTTGAACATTAAATCATCTCTTCATGTTTGTGTCTTTTATATTAGGCCTTTTATATTATATGCAGTCTGTCTTCAGGGGTTTTATTTAAGTTGAATAATTTTTAAAATTGGGGTAAAGGAAGTAGATAATTTGTAGATTGAATCCTTCTCAAGTAACATCAGAGCAACATTCTAATGAACATCTCAAATTTTAGCCATCTTATTTTAATAATCCCAAATCAGAGAGTTTTTATCTATAAAAACTAAAAGTAGAGACCTAAAATATTAGAATGGGTCACTTGTTGATTACTAAAAAGTCAGGCCATATAGATTTTGTGCTAATTGTTTACTTGCATGACTCATTAGAAAAAAAATATTTTTGTTCAAAATTTGACTTGTCATCTCTGAAGTGAAACTCCTTTTTTGGTACATTTGTCTAAGGGATTATCTGTTAGTAACCTTTGTCATTTTCATTCTCTGATATCTCTTGACTCTCAGAAAATAAGGTACAAATGCATGTGTAGAAATATGGATACAGTAGTATTCATGTTTGTGCGGGCAATTACAGGAAATTATGAATTTGCACTTGCAAATTGTCGGTTGTGTAGCTGAAAACATAATTACTTAATTTTGCTTGACTATTAGTAGTCATTGTTCATATTTATTAGACATGGAGTTTTGTGAGTAGTTTTGCACACTCAGACTTTGAAAAATCAGTAAATTGTGCTATATCTGTAATAATGTTAGACTTGCTTCGTAGCTGTTACCTATATACCCTGTTGGCAGTCAACAACAGTGTTAACGCAGTTGTTTAGCTTTTGTGTTTTTATTCAGAAGTTAAATTAGCATGTTTAAGCAGTCTTCATTTTATAATTTTACTTTTTAATACATAATATTGTTTGTAAAATATTACAGTAAGCCTTTAGTTATTTGGAATGGGTATTTTATAGATAATATTTTCTCTACAGGAAATCTGTATTGCAAAGCATAATGAAAAGATCCAGCAGCACCATCAGAGTGAAGAGGAATACAGAATGCATCATACTCTGCCGCTAGTGAGTTTGGGCTCTGTTTTGAAATTAGCCTTTGATTCCTTTTTTTAATATCCCTCACTATGCATTAATTACAGAAGTGTGTTCAGATGGATTACTATTCTGAACAGTTGACATATAACCTGGAAACTATGGACAAAGATGAGTAAGTAGAAGTTCAAGATAAGTTATCTTCTGTTTTTCAGAGTAAAACTGAGGCTGTTAAACTAGTGATTCCTGCACAGTTTTGGAGGTTATTTTATTTTATTTTATTTGACTACAGGTCTTTGGATTTGTTTTTTATAGTGATGTCCTTATATAGCTTGAAAACTGAAATGTGTTGCGTGATAAAGAGAAGGTACATCTAAATTATTGGATATCAAATAGGTTTATTTAAAAAACTATAAAAATATTTAGAGAAATAGGAAATAATAGGTCAGCTCTTGTTTTTCTTATTGCAAATTTGGGAAGAGGACTCCGTTATTTTAGTCATAGGGGTTCTTTCACATACTTTAGGGAGTACCATGATTGTGTCCAAGCAAAATTCATCATAATTATTAAACACGGTATTAAAGAAAAAGAAAACCTTAAACAAAACAATACAACAGAATATAAATGATTAACTGTTTTCCATTACAATCTCTTCTGTATGTGTTTTAAGGAGAGCTTTTAAAAGAGATTACACCCTTGAGAGTGAACTGCCTGAGGGAGCATTTTTCTCTTAACTCCAAATTGTATTGTTTCACAAAATTACTGTAAGTTCACTTTTAGTATTGTATTAGATACTTATGCTGTTTATCTATGAGCAAAACAATTTAAGGGCAGGTTGGTGGAACTTGTCCATTTGTTAATAAAAACAAGTTTGTTTTATAGATGGCCTTGTAAACAATCTTGGTTAAATGCTTTCTTAAATCAGCTACTCAGAAAAACCATGAAAGGGAGCTACCCTGACACAGGCCAGTTACAAATTTCAAGAATCTTAAATTCCACTATTCTTCTGTTTCAGTGTTTTAGCCTCTGCCTCCTCCTGAAGAACACATGATCTAACCATCTGGTGATTAACAGGAGACGTTAATATTTTAAGCTACAAAAGCATTTTTACACTCCAATAAAATAATTAAGAGTTTTAAATGTAATTCCTTAGCAGTGTTTTTGTTAATGTTCTCTCACCAAACCATGCTGGAGCGGTGAGGTTTCCCAGGGTGGTTACTTCTTGAGTCTTCTCTTTCATAGCTATCTTTGATAGTGTGGAGGTAGATACGGACATGAGATCGGGGTAGCAGAGGGTAGTTGGGTAGAGGAGGTGTTTTTATGCCCTTCTTTTTACTGTCGTAAAATTATAGGTAAATATACCTTTTTCAAATGTATTTAGATTCAAGGTTGGTTGCTGTCACCCTTTTACGATTTGATTACTTCCATGGGTTGTCCTAAGAGGCTGTCTCATCTTCTGAATATGAAGTTTGTTAATGTATAAAGGCATTGGATTTCAACAGGAAATGAAATTGTTTTCAAAAAAGTTTCCTGTTTTTATAGAAGTGTTTTTGGTATGTTTTTGGTTTTCAAAACAAAGCCCTTAATTCAAATAGTTATTGAAGTTGTTGATTCAATGTGACAGTTTTTAGAAAGATGATTCTTCTTGATTCTTGATTTGGGTGTGAGAATTCGAGTACTGCCATTAATATTTTTTCTCATGGATATAAATAGCCTATACTTTAATAACTTTTTACTATAGTAATTAGCAAGGTCCATCTTGGTACGTAAAGCCTTTTACAATTTACGTAGCAATTACTAAATTTGTATTTAGTAACAATACTTGGGACCGAGATGAACCACAATCCAAATGTATTTGTAAGTATGCATCTCACAAACAATTAAGAAATAAATAAAAGGTTTTAAACATTTCCCACAACAAATGTTTTTCCTGATGTTAGAGTAGGAGGGGTTTTTCATAGTATAAAGTCTCTTAGAGGAAGTAAACCTGGTTTTTATATTCATGACATATGCTTGTTCTTGAGAGACCAACAGAATACCTCATGGAATTTCTTTGATTAACCTGAACATTTTGTGCCACACTAAAGGTTAGCTAGTTTTGTATTATTATTTTAAATTTTTGTGGCTATAACCTACTTATATCTGTCTCCTTCAGTAAGGATGCAAACCAGTTGAATGACCTTTCATCCAAAAAAATTATAATTTAATATCATTCTACCATCAATACTGAGGGCTGTCTGATACAGAATCTTAAGTAAAATTTCAAAAAACAATTAAAGAAATATCGGCTTTCTTCCAGTTAGGCAAGACGGACAAATTGTAATGGTTTATGAATATGAAGTAGTATCACTGGAAGGTTCTTTAATTTTTGCAAAACAAATAATATAACTTGGGAAAGTATAGGAAGGACTTCTTTGCATATTTAAACAGTGAATCTTCTATATTAGCTGTAGTTACATTGGGGTTTGCAGCTGTAATTAAGATGGGCACCAAATACATTTAGTAAAAGGCTTTAACACTGTTTTCATGCCCGATACTTGTCATTCAGAAACCGGTCTAGAATTGGCAGTGTGTAGTGCTATCTGATCAGTAGCTTTCAGCTATGTAAATTATAGCCATGCCAAAGAGCTGAAATTAATGTGGGCGTAGGTGAATCCACTTGCTTAAACTTTGGCAAAACTAAATTTCAGTCACATTGGCATGTCCACAGTTACCAGCTTCCGCAGTAATGGACATTGAGGATCCTAGATAACTATCTCGTATTGCCTTAACAACAAAAGTTAGGGATGAAATGATAGGCACCTTCCACAAAGCTACTTTTACCTAGAATTAAATATAATAATAATAAGTTGTCCCAGGATCTCTACACTGTATAATTCATAGCATTATCTTCCTCTCCATCACAGACACTGTATTTTCTTTTAAAATTGTCATATTGCTCTCACATTTCCAGTTAAATGGGATGATTTTTCCAGATTCCTTGTGGGGTCTCGGAAACTTGAAATATTTAGATTTACTAAGAATACTTGGGACAGAGATGCACCATAGTCGAAATAATCTCTTCACTGTCAAACTATTATTAAAAATGGACACATTTTATATCATACATGTATGAGAAACTTGCCCTGACATCTTGTTACATAATTCACATCATGAAAGGCCTACATGTGAAAAATCACACGAGTTGATATTTTTGCAGTTTCTTGAAATAATGTATAAATTTTCATTCTAATAGTGAAAATTGGTAGTTTGGTTCAGCTTTTACTATGAAAAAAAGGACTCTTCTATGTCAAGAAAAATTAATTTACAATTTTATTAAGCATATCCTGACATATTGAATTAAGTTTTTCTTGCATCTCTTGAATGCTACAATAAAAAGAGCAGGCAGTGTTGCCAACTTACATGATTGTATCACAGGTCTCACTGCTTACTATTTCTCTCTCTCTCCTCTCCAGTCTACACTGCAATGAAATAGTCCCATAGTTCGAGTCCTGTAAACCTGAGTCAGCTGGCATGGGCCAACCCTGGGCTTTTCTTCATAGTATGGACATACCTTAGTGACCAAGAAAAATCTGGTTTATGTGACTTCTCTATCATCACCTAGGAACTCTGTGGCAGAGGGATAAAACCCAGATTAGTACACATCTGCCTTAGCCATGAGACTGTTCTTTCTCTTCCTGCAATCCCCTCCCTCAACTTCCCTCTTCTTCAACAAGTGAAGCAGGGGGTCCTATCAATAGTTTCTTCCAGTATATAACCCTGAGTTAGTCCCAGAATATGTCCATCCTGTGCCATTAACAAGACATGGACCTGTGCGGGGGAAAGTGTATGATGCTGTATTTAAAGACCGTATCAAAAGCAAACTGAAATAAGTCAAATATTATGTGGCTTACATTTATGTCCATGTGGATCGTCATGAGAGTTGGAACCCCTAGGATCCATCACGCAGATCTCTCCCATTTGAGCTTATGGAATAACTAAGATCTATAATAGGTTGTCATCTTTTATATGGACAAAAGGGAAAGGAGTGAGACACTTTGAGAGGGGAGTTCCCGGACATTGCTGACAGCGGTTGAATAGTGAAATTCAGGGATTTGGAATTCTGTTTCAGGCTCCTCATCCTAGTCCCCTACACCTTGCTGTCCCAAGCTCTGTCTCTTAACTCCTCAGGCTTTTTATCCCATTCCCAATCTCCCTGCTGAGCCAATCCCAGCTTTCTCCTATATTATAGCTGACTGGTTGATCTCAGTATCCTCTCTGTCCCTGGCTAGCTGGCTCTCAATCCCTCATCCTCACTTTCCCCATTGACTCCGACTCCTTCCTGCCACCAAATCCCAGTAACAGTTTCTTTGTCCCCCTTTCTCTCTCTCTCTCCATTCCAAATTGATCCTTTACATTTCTTCTTCTCGCTTCCTTCAGTCTGGCTCTCATCCACTGTGCATTCAAGTCATGTGACTTCCTCCACCAATCTGCATGGGTACCAGAAGGGGGGCATTATTGAGAGTTCATAAGAGAGAAGCTCCTTGTTGTCATTTCTGTCAAATTTGAGTGGATTATCGCCAGAATGGCAAAAAGGCCTAATCCTACTATAAAGGCCAACCCTTGCCAAATTTCAGTTATGCACTCCAAAGCCTAGCACTAACACTTGCCATACGTAATCATGGTTGCCAGAATCTTTTAATATGGGCAAAATATGATTTTCCCTTTGTCCATTTCTCAGATGTGGCTTGTGTTCTCACTAAAACTCAAAAAAAAAAAAAAAAGAAAAGAAAAAAAGGGTCATACTTACTGTGGAAAAATTGAGTACAAATAGTAAATTTGACAACTATAAATAACCAAAAACAAGATCTTATAATGGAAAGTGTTGGCCAACCTTCAAAAATCCAGTGCTGCCAGGTCCACCTGTAATATCTTTGAATTAATTGGTATTTGTTTGTTTGCATTATCTATTAGCAATCACATATCAAGGGGTAGCATATTAGGATTGAGATTACGGGAGTTGAATCACTTCCTTCCATAAAATATTTTGCAAT